CCCCTCCCCCCACCCCCTCTCGCCTCTTGTAGTGAACTGCGATTGCAATTTATCTCGCCTAAGAGTGTAAAAGTAGCGTGACTGCCGCCACCCATTTAGTTGCCATATGGGAACGGATGTTGTTTGTGGGAAGTAGTGGAAGATAGTAGGAAGATAGTGTAGAAGGCGATGCAGGAAAGGAGCGATAGATGGTGTGGATGTGTGTGGTGCGTGTGTGTGGTGTATATGGTTGTGGCGAGAATATAAAGGTCGGTAGGCGTGAATTTAAGCCGAGGAGAGGCGTGTGCGGGGAGAAATCTCCAACGCAATTAGTAAAGTAATCACTGTCATTAGTTATGATTTCCACCGATACTCTTCTTTCCCATCACAGGTTAAGGGGGAAACTCAAGATCATTCGTAAAATTATTTATTAAAATGATAAAAGATAAAACAATAAAACGGCAATAAAACACTGAACAATAAAACGGCAATAAAACTGAACAATAAAACGGCAATAAACTGAACATAAAACGACAATAAAAACTGACTAAAACTGAACAAAACGATAAAACACTGAATAATAAAATCAACACATGGAACGGTAAAATAATTTAAAAGAAAGCACTGGTAAAATCACATAAAAGAAATAAAACCATAAATGGACTGGCACCGAGATCATTAGGTCACTTCGCCGAACAAATAACTTAGCAAACTTCTCTCACCTCCTATAGTCAGGTACTTCCACAACCACTTATCTTTAGGAAAAAGGGGAATGCCCGTTCCGGGGTTCCCTCACTAGCAGTCAGAGTCACGACCAACCCTCGAATCCCCTGAGTTTGTCTGTTTGACCTCCCACGTCAGTTCCTACGCGGGAGTAAGCTAAAATCAGGGTTTCCATCTGATACTAAGCTGATAAAATGCATGTTAAAATCCAATAAATCTATAAAAAGGAGATACTTCTATAATAGCACTTGATGAAAATATAATTAACTATTGAAATCGAAATAAAAACTTTACGTTAAAAGAACCATCGTATCAGTTATGGCCATATGTAAAATCTGA